GTTGGAGTGAGGTATTGGTGGTGGCGCTTTATCAAAGCTCCCTCTCCCTCCCCTCCCCTCCCCTCTGTTATCAAGCTTTCAATTGCTGCCTCCCCTCTCCTCCCCTATATATATATATGCGGGAAGTTGAGATGGAATAAAACTCAGAAAAAAAAAAAAATTCAGTTAGTTTCAAAATTCCCTCCATATGGCTCAACTATACCAGACGGCGGGAAGCTGAGATGGACGACTCATACGTCGTGGACTTGAATCGTGATTGGCGGCAACAAAAGTCGTCGATCCCCTCCCCTTCCCTATATTATTATTTTTTCTTTATTCTTTTCATCTTTTATTTCATTCTTTTCCTTTTAACATATTTTTTTTTTTCCTTAGTCATTTTTTTTTATTCTTTTCCTTTCAACATTTTTTGTTTTTATTATTTTCCTTTTTGAAATAATTTATTTTTTTTATTCTTTTCCTTTAACATTATTATGTGTTTTACTCTTTTCCTTTTTTATTCATTTTTTTTTTTCATTTTTTTCCTTTTAACATTTTTTTTTACTCTTTTCCTTTTTTAGTCATATTATTCTTTTCCTTTTAGCATTATATTATTTTTTATTTTTTTTCGCTTTTTTAATTCTTTTTTTTTTTTGTTTTCTTTCTTTCCTTTTAACATTATTTTTTGTTTATTCTTTTCCTTTTTTAGTCCATTATTTTTTTTTTAATCTTTTCCTTTTTTATTCTTGTCCTTTTAATATTTTATTTTTTTTTATTCTTTTCCTTTTAACATTATTAATTTTGTTTATTGTTTTCCTTTTTTGATCATTTTTTTTGTATTCTTTTCCTTTTTTGTTCAATTTTTTTTTGATTGTTTTCCTTTTTATTCATTATTTTTATTCTTTTCCTTTTAAATTTTTTTTAAAAAAATTAATTTCCTTTTTGTTTTATTGTTTTCGTTGTAACAAATTGGAGTTGATCTTCGATTTCATGCCATGGATGTCCCTGTGAATTTATTTGAAATTGGAATTTTATCTATTGTTTTAATTACAGAAAGCAACCAAAATACAATGTGACAGGCCACCTGAAGTTAAGGTTTACATACACCAACTACATACAATACAAAGTCAAAAGAACGCATAAATGGAACACGAATGAATATGCGATGTATGTAGATTTACATAATTATATATTATGTGTTCAATTCTATGATTAGTTTATGTGCTCGTGCAGAACTATTTTGACTTCTAGCATACACGTGTTTGGGAATTGGGCTAAACCCAATTGTTGTGTGGCTACCCAATTTGAACTATTTGTTGCTTCTTTTTTCATTTAATGTTATCAGTGTGCAGGGAATAGAAGGACTGCAATGAGCAAAGTAAGAGCAGTGAAAGGTGTTGGCTGGGATATTCTGCCATTGGAAATGGTTTGCTTCTATTCATTCTCTTTTTGTACATTTTCAACTGCTTCTGTGTTTTCCAAAACATTTTGCAAAACCATATTCATTTCTGTTTTCTCTCTCTCTCTCTCTCTCTCTCTCTCTCTCTGTTGATATTTTTTCTTCTGCACATATTTGCTTAAGCCATTTGGGGTGGAGCCAAACTCGCTGATGTTCTTGAACTTGTGGGAATACCTAAATTGACGAAAACCACTCCTTTGGGTGGAAAGCACGTAGAATTTGTAAGCATTGATATGTGCAAGGTGAAAATTTCTTAAATTCATTTAATCTTAATTATAAAGAAATTACACTGTTTGGTGGATTAATTCCATTCCAAGTAATTAGGACTATTAGGAGGAGAAAGGAGGTCCATATAAGGCATCAATTCCATTAATTCGATCAACAAATTCTGAAGTTGACATTTTACTTGCTTACGAGATGAACGGAGAGGTAGGAAATTTTAATGTATTGTTGCTTGCGTTGCGTTTGGCAGCATGGAATTCAAGCATTGGATTTGGATAGCAAATTCAAGGAAGAAATGAACTGTAATATCTTCTAAGCTTCTTGAATCCTCTTGTTCTTGACTAATCTTCCTCCGTTCTTATTGAAATTTGACTGGTTTACCATACCGAAGCCTCTAAATAGAGATCATGGATATCCACTTCGTGTGGTTGTCCCCGGTGTTATAGGTGCCCGCTCTGTAAAATGGTTGGATTCAATCAACATAATCGGAGAAGAATGTCAGGTTGGTTATGAAAAATGTAAAAATTAGAGTTCTCCAATAATTATGACCTTTCACTTCTAAATTAAATTATATCTTACACACTAATGTGTAACAACAATAAACAGGGTTTTTTCATGCAAAGGGACTACAAGATGTTTCCTCCTTCGGTTAACTGGGAAAATATCGACTGGTCCACTTGAAAGCCTCAAATGGATTTTCCAGTCTAGGTTTGTTCTGTGTATTTGACAGTGGAAATTACATAGCGTTCACAAACGGAACCATTATGAGCATAATAGATGCATTGTGTTTGGATATGCGTTGGATTTGAGAAAGGATTTGAAATTGACAGATTTCAAGTACTTGGGTATTTTAAATCCTTTGTTGAATAAAAAAGATAGACCAAAACTCAAAATTGACAAAACTTCCCTGTGCTCCTCTACCCATGGTAATATTCGACTCAAAAACTTTAAATATGCGCGTTAAGAGTTGAGGCTAAGGTGTGAGATTAGGGAGAATTTGAATTAATTATTTCAAATCCATTGAAAAGGTTGCCTACAATCCTTAGTAGACTTGAAACAATAGTTACATGCTGTCTGTCCATCCAAAAAAAGGCCTGTCACCTTTCTTTATCCTTTTCATTGCTGTAAAAGGCCAAGACCCTAGATTGAGAAGGGTGTACCAACTGAACTCTTCAAGATGAAAAAAATAAAATTCTCGAATCATAGAACATCGATGATAAAAGTAAACAAGAGGTCGACAATAACAAGGCATGCTGCCAATTAGTTCCAATTGACGTTTTGGTGGCAAATGCTACTGTGCAAAGAATTGTCAGAGCTAAAATGATGGTTTGGCCATTTTCAAGAGAATATTTTATGGGAAAAGACGATTGAATAATGGCATTCAATTTTCTATATGCACTTGCTGTTGCGCATTTGCTTCGAAAATGAGCGAAAACACTAAACAAAATGGCTTCATAGCCTTTGCTAGAAATTTATACAAAACAAATATCCATCAAAATACTAACAGATTTAAGTCCATACAACAAAACAAATATCCATCAACCATCGTTTAAGAGTATTTATACAAAATACTAACAAATTTAAGTCCTCAAATTTTTTTTTTAAAAAAAAATCTTAGTTTAGCTCCAATATCACCTGCTCGATCATAGCAACTATTACCCATAGCAACACCTGCAAAAACAAATTAAATTGTCGTTAAGGTTTGTTCACTTGAAATTTATGATTCAAATCATAACAAATTGAATTTTGATATATTGGTCATTACACACTCTTTTGTTATTTTGTGTTCGTAAATTATTTATTTTCATAATCAAGTTGTAAACATCATAATTAGTTATGACATCTAAATGTTCTAGCTAAAATTTATCTTGGCATATCAAGAAATTAGAATTAAGCAGCCACATAAAATTTGCAAAGCAAATGTAAGCAAAATGAACATAGTTTGAACTGAAAAGATGCCATAAAAGTAATCACCTAGAGACGTATCCGCATCAATGAACGCTGAATTTTGGACGACTTGTGCATCGCAACTACGCAAGTCATTAACATCCTTGCTCAACTGCACTGGAGACGTATCCACATTAGTGACAAAAAGTCGTCTCTTCACAGGGTGGGTCTTACATGGCCTAATATTATTCCTGGGACGCTTCGGTGTAAAAGGGGTGGGAGTACCAATTGGATCATAATCATCCTATTCCTCAAACAAATTGCTACCCACTTGTCCCGTTTTATGATCGTTTTGGGGGCAAGTTCTCCTTGTGTGGCCGATGACCCTACATTGTCAAGTAAATCACCAATCATTAAAGAGAACAAAAATGCCAACACTACCTCACAATTACAAAATTAAGACACAAAGCACAATATAATGTATACCTGCAACACTGGCATCGCCTTGGCTTTCGAGGTTTAGCCATGTAGGATCCCCCAGTATTCCCCTTCGTGTCCACTACTTTCGGATCCCCAACCCCAAATGGTGGCAGTGAACTTTTTCCTTCATCAACATTAGTTCCCTTGGCCATGCAAAGCTGCTTCATCCGACATGTCATAGTGAAAAATGCATTCCTAGCCTCTTCAAATCCCTCAGATGTTTGTGAGGCATAGTAACACATTTCAGTAAAAGAAGAGCAAAGTACCCCAAAACGCGTCTCCTGTGTGAGAGTGCTAGAGAATTGGGCTTGGTAATGTTGTTCACCAACCTTTCTTGCTTACTTTGTCCAACGATGCATCACACAACTTGGGAGAATTTCAGTCATGTGTTCGCATTTCATCATAGAAATCATGTGGCTGCAAGGAAGTTCAAAGAACTCAAACTTTTTGCAACTACATTTCATTATGCTAGTTGCGGGATGGTATGACACTTCCCATGTGGAACCAAATTCAGTGTACTTTGAAAATTTCTATATGCGATGATCGAACTCCTCTTTCCTTCCATCAAAAATCAACAATGCTTCCTCAATTATTTCATTACGGAACATTAAGAACAAACGTCTGGTAAAGATGGTTGCTGCATGTTTCTCTAGAGGCTGAAGTGCTGTGGTAAGACAAGGATCACTGTTGTCAGTTTTTGCCTCGGCATCCGCTTCTTTGTTCCGTAACCGATAAAGGGCCATGTCAAAACATCTAACAAATTCGAATAGTTTCAGTTTTCGTTTGAGGTGCTCATTGAAAAAAGCATGCATACCCTCACAACGCTGACTGCTCTTCATTCCAGCAAAAAAATGACCATGCAAATATGACTGAGCCCACATGCCTTTGTTGTTGTAGGTGTCTGATACCCACTTGTTATTTTGAAGGCCATATTTTCTGACCATCTTACTCCAAGCTTCCTCAAATACAACCTCATTTGCATCAAGATCCATGAGATGCTTGAAATGTCCTTCAAACCAATCGACTCGAACATTTCGCTTGGCATTTCTGTGCATATGCCAATTACATAGACGATGCTTGGCATTTGGAAAGACTTTTTGTATTGCCTCACGCATGGCCATATCCCGATTTATCAACACTGACACTGGCCTTTTGTTATCCATGGCCTCTAACAACTTCTGCAAAACCCATGTGTATGTTGCAATTGTCTCATCAACAAGCAAGTTGCATGCAAATATGGTGGTTTCAAAATGGTTATTGACCCCAACGAAAATAACAAAAGGTTTGTTATATGCATTTGTTTTATAAGTCGTATCAAAGACCAACACGTCACCAAATGCAGCATAGTCTAGGCGAGACCTTGAATCTGCCCAAAACAATTTGTCAAGCCGGTTCTCTTGATCCTTGTCATACTTGTAAAAGAAGTAAGGGTTAGCATCAGCTTTTGCACATAAGTAAGCCAAAGCACACTCCGCGTCACCATCCTTCATTTCTATTTTGCGCTCGACTTGAATATAATTGTGCAAATCCTTGTGAATAAAGCCCACATTCACGAAAGACCCAGATTGTTGCACCAACAAATCCATTATCTAGCTTGTCTTGACACCAATATCGTGCAAAGTCTTTACTTGAGCTTTGTCGGGGATCTTTACAAACCTATGCGACTGAAGAAATGGCACACTTGGTGATGTTGCCAATGGATGGTTATGTTCCATGTTAAAGTGAGTGACAATGTATTTGCCTACATCCAGATTGTACCTTATGCAGAAATGAGCATCACAACCAACTCTAGTCAATGCCCTGGCAGCTCTTTTTCGATCAATACGGGCCAAGTGTTGCTTTGCTCTTTGGCCTTGCCTTGAGCATACCCATTTTCTACTAAGAACCTTTGTTGCCTGCATTGTTCGCGTGTCTTTCCTAATGCTAAATCCCACAACTTTAGCATATTGATTATAGAAATCATTGGCATCCTCTTCTAAATTGAATTGCATTTCAAGAACATCATTCTTGGTTAAACTTTGAATAGGGTCATTTGCATGGGAACCTAATTCTTCTTTATTCCCACAAACTTTGTCATCTTCAAGCTTACGCTCAAATTTAGTACATCCAAAAGGATCCGTGATGACTACATCAAAAACAATACGAAAAGAATAAAATAGAAACAAAGAAAAGGAAAAAGCAAATAAATAAAAATATATGGAGACTCATTAAGGCAATTCATTTGGGTTCTTTGGTATTTTTCTTAATTGACTTGGGTTATTTTTAGGTATTTGGATTGCTCTAAAACATACCTGCAAGTATAACGTTATACACTGTCCAACTTATAGCAAATAACTAATCAAACTTATAACTTTATAGCAAAGAATTAATAAAACAAATAAAAAATGTCGTGTAATTCAAAATCAATATTTAAACAAAGAGAATTCATATGAAAAAGACCTATTAATTCATTACAAAAAAGAAAACGATTAAGAATTATATTCATTACCAAATCAAAATGAGAATTTTCAAAAATACTATAGATATAATCTTTTATCTTATAGATCTATTAATTATGAAAATAAGAGGGACCCATATATTTATGGATCACCATTCCAAGTAAATAAGAATCGAGAGAGTTTTTATAATTACAACACACATAAACATAAGGGCAAATTTTTTGATATACTAGGGGATATCCCTATCAAAAATTATTTAGGAAAAAGTGATATTATGTATATGGAAAAAAATCCGGATCGAAAATATTTTGATTGGAAAATTCTCCATTTTTGTCTTAAAAAGAAAATCGATATTGAGGCCTGGATCAAGATCGATACCAACAAGAATAAAAATACTAAAACCGGGACTAATAATTATCAAATAATTGATAAAATTGATAAAAAAGATCTTTTTTATCTTACGATTCCTCAGGATCAAGAAATCAATTCACCCAATAAAAAAAAAAAATCTTTTTTGATTGGATGGGAATGAATGAAGAAATACTAAGTCGTCCTATATCGAATCTGAAACTTTGGTTCTTCCCAGAATTTGTACTTCTTTATAATGCATATAAAATAAAACTGTGGTTTATACCAAGCAAATTACTTTTTTTTAATATAAATGAAAATGGTAGTGAAAATAAAAACATCTATAGAAAGCAAAAGGGGGTTATACCCTCGAATGAAAAAAAAAATGGAATATCTAGAAGCCACTTTAATTGGATTCTCATTAATCTTACGTGGTTCCATGATTCTTCCCTCTCCTCTTCACATTTCTACCTCACCTAAGCCCTTGCACCAAATTCTCCCTTCAGCCCCACAGTCCTCACCTATAAGATATCATATCACAAATTTATTTATTTCGTTTAATTTTTAAAAAAAAATTCCTCAAAAAAAAAAAAAACAAAATACTCAGGTTAGAATTCCACTTTTAAAATTATTGGGCCAATGGAGCCAAGCCTTTATCTGTCCAAAAATTTATCTATATGTTCAAATGTTATTTATCTATACACATGTCACGTACTTTTCTAATTATTTGTCCAAATATCACCTAATTATACACGTGTCACCTATTTGTCCCACCTTACCGCTACCAACCATTGTTGCCAGCTATCGCTATCCACCAGCCATTGGCAACTTTTTCAACAGCTTTAGGAGTGATAAACGAACCAAACAACTTGAGCTCGACTTATGTTCAGCTCATTAAAAACTCGTTCGAGCTCAGTTCGTTAAGTAAATAAGCCAAACTTGAACACATTTTGAAACTCATTAAAGTTTTCAAATTAAGTTTGAATAGTCAATTGCTTGCTCGGCTCTGTATGATGAATCTAAAACTACCAAATCACTTGAGGTCGGCTTGACAAAAACTCATTTGATATCGACTCGAAAATTTAACGAACCAAAGTTGAACATATTTTAAATTCGTTAAAGTTATCAAAGCAAGTTATAACAATTAACTGTTCAGCTCGTTTATTATCCCTAAAGAGGGTTTAAATAGGATTACAACTATTTATCTTTCTCATTTTACATCCCCTCCATACCTTATTCTCTCTACTACTTACAACACAATTTTGGATGCAATTATTATTTATGTAGAATCACTTGAAAATAAAATAAAATAAACACTCTAGAGGATTCATGCTTCGTCTGTGATGGGTGGATGAAGGCAAAAATCTCAGTATAAAATTTTCAAATGTTTATGAAATTTAATGAATTTACTTGAACCAAACTCTCTTGTGGTGTTTTTGCCCTCTAGAGTTCTTTCTTTTCAAACATGTACATTTCTTCTCTACTCCCTCAAAATTATGTTTATTTTTCTCGTGGGTGGGAAGCAAAAGTATCAACTAAGAATTTCCAAACATTTACATGTCATTCAACAAATTTGAGTTCAACCAAAAATGAATTCAATCTTTCTCTTGTGACGTCATCTCCCTCTTAAAAAAAAGACAGTACACCCGCAAGTATCCTACTATCAATTAAAATAAAAAAACAAAATAAAAGCACGCCTGCCAGTGCCCTTATAGCGACCCCGGCTTTTCCCATTTGATTATTGTATCCGGACTTAGGTTCCGTAGATTCTGTCATTATATAATTGTTGTTGTTGTTTCTTATTTTCTCATTTGGAGTTATAGGATGTGTTGGGTAGGTTTGTTTCAGGTTGGTTGGGTTTGGAAACCAAGTGTTGCTGTCCAGAATTTTGGATCTTCGCTCGAGCGAGGAGTTGGTCGCTCGAGCGAGCTGTTGTTTTTGGTTCTTCGCTCGAGCCGAGGTTTGGTCGCTCGAGCGAGAGTTTGCGTCCAGTATGGACCTGTAGCATTGCATTCCTGGCTCGAGCGAGCTTTTCTTTGCTCGAGCGAGTATTTCTTGTTTCTGGTCGCTCGAGCGACCAAGTCTTCGCTCAAGCGACCCTGTCCAGT